CCAGTGCTACTGAGCTCACCACTCCTGCCGACGACCTCTTGAAGAGACTGACCTTACTGGAGCTCTTCCTGCTGACCACCCGGTAAGCACTCACGAACCTTCTCCCAGGACCTCCGTACTGTCCCAAGGACCATGTGGTCCAACCACAATCCCTAGTGTACACGGCGCGCTCAAACAGCTATTGTGTCCGCCTTGTTCCCCTAGGCCTAATGCTATGGGGCTGGCGACGGCGTGGTTGTAATGTACTGAAGCAGCCAATCGACTCCTTGCCGTCCGAACATCCTTTGGCCCCTGACCTTGAATGTTATCCACCGGCCGGGTCTTCCTTGGGCCTGTGGGCACTACCTACTGGAAGTTTCCAGAGCGTGCCTGAACCTATGATGGACATGAAAGCAAGACATGCTGGACACAAAAAGCATTGGTGAGTTCCCACCTGGGCCTACTGGGCCTAATTCCGGCAAACCCGGGACCCACGGCTGGCCAGCCCTTGACTGCCTGCCATGTGGCCTAGAGGCCTTACATGTCTGATTTTTTTTATTTTTTTTTCCCGCTCGAATTTGGTTACTAATTTAGAGATGGTCCTCGGTCAAAAGGTGTTCGTATTGCGAAGGTGCACAACTGTTCTCTTTGAAAGATGTTTTGTAGAATTGTGAAATATTGAAAAGCGAGAATAGTGGAATACATGTTTACGGTATTTTTCTTTTTCGAAGTATGTGAGTGTGGATGTGATGTAGGAGGAATTGCAAGAAAATGTACCTCAGCACTGGGACTTGGGATTTTCTTCCAGCTCCTCTGCACAGTAATCTCTCCAGAGCAATTTCTCTTTCGAGTCGTTGTCCTCCCTTTCGTAATTTAATGTGCCTCAATGCGTTGAACTTGTCAGGGCTTGAACTCTCAACTCACACATCTACATCGCTTGTGGATGCATGTGAAGTTTGGCTTCAGCACGCTGCTCACTGCTGGTGTCGGTAGGCCGTAGTCACTCTGGGGCTATTTTTATGCAACTGGCGTTAATGGAGGGCCCGTACATCGAACACCCACGGAGGTCTTCAGTATCGTTTGGTTTCCCCTGTGCATGGAGAGTTGCATCAATAGAGCATCCAAAATC